CATCCAGCTTCCGAAACGAGGCACTTGGGGCCCCCCCCGCCCCTTTTAATATTAGGGGGAAGGGATTATTCATGCAATTTGACATTCGTTAAAACAGGATCGGTGCAGTAGTACCGACGAGACAGCAACAGTTTAGCGCTAGCTTCTTCTTCAATAGAGATTGCCACTTCATTGAGAAGAGATACCAGCAAAAACACGTGCGCGGCTAGACTGAAAGACAGCGAGCGGTTTCGCTCGTGGAATGCCGTGTGCATAATTGGAACATTACGAAAACTCAGTTCTGTACATTTTAGTCAAACATTTACACGATGAAATAGCTGTTAGGTTAGGTATCAAGGCGTTGTTAATTGCACAGTAGTGGAATATTGCTCAAGTTGTTTGTCAACATCGCAAGTTCGAAGTATAAATGAGGACTTACGGGTTTCTTGTAGTTAAAATGAGACTTACACACTATACTTGTAAGCAGAAAAACTTGGCACAGAACATCAATGGGGCATCAAGATAGTACTTATATGATCTTTCACTATTGTACAAACCGATAACATGATGCACCGCCTGAGTACGACTTAAGTAGTATATGCTAAACAAAGCCCTTCAATATTGGAGTTTCAATGAGCGACATACCCTCGAACATGCAGCCATCACTACTCAAATGCCAAAGGAGTTTTCCACCAAATAGAAGGTTAATGCTCAATAAGTATGATCGAAATAGTAGTTAAAAGGTATCTGAACAAGTGTTCTGTGCATATGACATGCCACATTCAAGTCACGTAAACACCCGAGTTAAGTTTTTGTTACATAGGGCTGCCTATTGACTAAACGTGCAGGTAAGCTATTTCAGCATTTTGGTGCTCAATTACAATTGGACTGTGGCAATATCTCAGTACCAGGAAAAACGCAGCGCCGTATGATGAAGATATTGCTCAAGGTTTATGTTAACTTGAAATTTCCAACGAATTCCAACGAATACCAACTTGAAGCGTTCTTGTTATTTTGTTAAGCAATAGTTGGTCGTAGTCGCAGAGTTCACTGAACATCAGCTAGCTATTATATGGGCAAGCACAAGTGCGGAGAGGTGCGGAGGGTCCCAATGTTTTGGTGGTAAGGGGGTCCCAAACATTGAAGAACTCTCATGCTTTTCGATCTATTTCAGCACGAAAGTGTGGAGAGGTCTCAATGTGTTGGGGATGTGGTGTCCCAAAACATCCGGGGAGTGCCACCGTGCTAGAGGCCCGGTCCCGACAAACCAAAAGAGCCAGTGCAGATCAAGGCAGGAAAGGCGGGGAAAGGGTAGGTACATGGGGGCGGGGCACCATTTATTTCTATATACACTTTACATATCCATATGTATGTATTTATGTCTTGATGTATTCCTGTATGCATGTAATGTATGTCAGTCTGTGTGTCTGTACGTACTTACACGTACATACATACAGTAATGCATGCATACATACATATATACGCACATACGTACATACGGTGTCTGCGGACGTTGCCAAGTGGGAGCCAAAAGTACGTACATACGTACTTACCTACGTACATAAGTGCATACAGTACATACATACATACATACATACATACATACATACATACGTACATACGTACATATGTAGATAGGTATGCATACACACACACACACACATATATATATATATATATATATATATACACATACATGCACACACACACACACACGCGCACGTAGAGTATGTGATTGAAGCCTGCTGAAAGTCTATCTTCCAAGGTGGCGATAGCTACGGCGAGTGGTGGCTGCCGGAGATTCGAAGTTTTTTGAATGTGGTCTGTTTCGAAGCCGGAGAGCCACTGTGAGTCCAGGCTTTGATTATCTATGGCTTGGCTAGAAGTAACGAGGGAACATCTCCTCCAAGGCGCCGGATCACGTTGTGGCCCAGGCTTCCACGATCAGTTGAGCAGGAAGGCACGAAGTCGGTGAGCATGAGTAAACCGAGTGTTTCTGCCTGGGACAGAGTATGCCTGTGAATCGGGAGGCACTGCATGGATACTCCACGTTCCGGCCTAACAAACTTCCGCGGGCTTGATTGTACGACCACTTATCTACCCCTTGTACAGGAGTAAGCAGGAGCGAGCTTGGCTCTGGGCTACGGTTTGTTGGGGCTCGCTGAGGGGAGCAAAAGTCGAGCGCACTCGTCTTCCGGAGCTTGGGGGGTCGGTATTAGTCTCAAATATCGGTTCTGGCGGCTGTAAACAGGTGGCGTGCGAGTTTGATGTTGCACCGACGAGTGTCAACAACACAGTCCATTCGCAAAGCCTTTAGCATGTTTGTCTCGGGGCATGTCCAAGGTCTCCAGCCTGGCAATCTCGAATCTGTGGCACCTATTGCCGGCGGCCTGAGTATGCGGTCAATACAAGCAGTTGTCCGTCGATGATTTTTTTTTGGCCAGGGCTTTGGCTGACTGCCGAGGCATGTGTTGACTCCAGCCTTGGCCGACAGAAGAGCATGCAAGGATCAGGCGAGGGGGTGCCATGCTTTCGCGGGATGAAGCGGTTTCCTGGCTGGTACCATGGCTCAGTGCACCAAAAGTTTGCCAAAACAGTTGTTGCTTCGACCAGATCGAACTTGAAGTGAGTTATTTCCGCAGACGTGCACGGAGCGAACAGCCTGCTTGTACTCGTTCGCTCATGCATGCAAGTGTGAGCTATGAAGTTTCAGCACGGGGCAATTGCGGTCTTCCGATAGCATAGAAGATGCTCCCGCTCCCTCGAAGGAATGCGAGATATTGATCGATGGTCCGTGCCTTACAGCTTTGCAGAAGCTGTCTTCGCTGTGCCTGATGATGTATCGCTCTTCCCGCGCGTGTCAACGCGGTAAAGGTCGGCAGGATGGCATAGCAGGAACTTCGATTCTTAGCGGGAGTGTTCGTACACGTGCACCGTTGTGAAGAGGAAAGCGTGCGAGTCAAGCAGTGGCCTAAAATTCTGGAGTGTGATAAGGTCTGATGATGGATCGGGAGTGGACCGAAGGGTTGCAGTGGCCTCCGGGGGATCGGTCGACTGTGTGCATTGTGCGTCCGTGCATCAATGAATTATCAGCACCACTACCCATCGCAACAAAGCGGTGTGATCCGAAACTGCTTCTCTGTGTGCTCAGGTTCTTTGTCTGTTGTGGCCTTCAGGCATGTCAGTGGTAAGACTTCATGAGTTGTTAGCCTAGCCATAAATGCCGCCACTGCCACGCAGTACATTGAGGTGTTCACGCATTTGAGCTTTGAAGCTGTGTTCTGAATTCCAGCGAATTTGGCAATTCGTCTTCCGAGAGCCATGGCAGAAGATGACGTGCCGCAGGGAGTCATTGCTACTTACTTGCAAAGAGGCCGTGTCGCTTTTGGCACTTCTTTGTGTGCAGGTTGGGGCGTTGGGCCCGGGCGGGCTCAGGGCACGCGGAGCAAGTTCAGGGGTGTTTTGGAGGTTCACGGGTGGGATTCCGAAGACTTTGCTGAAGAGTTGAAAGGTACTGGTACCGGATTTTTTTGCGAGAGAGGAATAAATAATGCGCAGGGGACTCAAACAGAAAGGAACATACCACGCACAAGAGACTAAACCGTTAGACAGTTGAGAAACTGCAGCAGACCTCTCGAAACGGACTAGATTCACCAAATAAGATGAGAAAGAGTTGCAAGCCGGCAGGACGAGAGAAGTCGAAACTGAGGAGTGGCACAGCGAACTTCGCCCAAGGGAAGACTGAGGAGCCAACGGTTCGAAAGGGATAAGGCACAGTGACAAGGGAATGCAATTGCGACCAAGAAACAATCCCTGAAACAACCCGCTCGAAAGAAAGGTGAGTTATTGTAGGAAGAAGCCGAGCAAAGAAGGCCTGGACGTTTAGACCGGGCAGCACGCCGCCCAAAAGAGATTAGATAACTTGAGACAAAAGGCGCAACCCGCTCGACAGGGACTAGAGACTTTGAGAGAAGAGGATCGAAAACACAGGACCGCATAAGTGAGTCATTGTAGCAAACTGCGCCACCGAGAGTAGACAAGTTGGCAGCACGGAGCAAACCGATCGAACAGTACAGGAGATGTTTAGAGATGAGCAAACCGCTCGAAAGGTGGGAACGGATACCAAATCATTAGAACAGACCAGAGACTTTGAGAAAGAGATGCGAACTGTTCGAGAAAGACTAGAGAAGTGGAAGCTCAGCAGCAGACGCCAGAGGAGCTGGAGACTAAAAGCTGGGCCATGGCATAAGAGTTGACAAGCAGAGGCAAAGTGCTTGAACAGATGAGGAGCAGACTTCTTGGAGCAGGGGTTGCGCAATCGGAACAAATTGGCAGAAAAGATTTCTTGAAGTTCAAAAAGCAAAAAGGAGCAAGCCCCTCGAAACGGACCAGAGTTTGAGAATCAGCTACAAACCACTCGGAAGGGTGGAGTTGTTGAGATGCTAGAGCAATCAGCTCTCGCGAGACTGGTGATGTTGAGCAAGATAAGCGCACGAAATGGATGAGAAAACGCTCGCGAAAGCATTGAGAAGTTGAGAAGGGAGGGTGACTACCGGGACAGCAACAACAGCTCCACAGAAAATAGAGAGATCAGACCTCGAAAGGGACTTAGTATTACTAGTTTACTAGTTCGCCCTTGAAAGATGCGTGTGATCAATGTGGGACTGAACCTGCTCTAGACCTGCAGATTGTAGTTGATCATCCGCTTTAGTTTCATCGGTAATCAGAGATAGGTGATTGGCACATTTTGTAGATTGTGATGTTCCTGGGCATAGTTTTCGAAAAGCTCAGGTGTGCGTGCGGCTTCGGCCGATGTTCGTCAAGAGGCTTTGGCCAAGACAGACTGCTGAAGATGTTCCTGTCGTGAATTCCAGCCAGACCTGCAACCTTAATCAGGCCTGATGGCACTCCTGGGCGAGAAGCAACCTGCCAGCGGGCTTCTTGCCGTGTACTGGACTAGTCGCTGTTCCGTCAGGTTTAATAGGAAACGCCTGGCATGCAAAGCAATTGAAGGGAAACACAAATCTGGCAACATTTTAGCGATGGTTTGGTAGAAGAACACGGACGCGCAGAGGGAGATGTGGGTTCTTGGTAGCTGTTTTTGCTCAGGTGGTTGAGATGGAAGGAGAGGCCGAAAATGGCTGTGGATGCGCTGTGACAAAGATCTACGATCCAAACGCATCCTGGCTGGCCCTGTTTCTATGACACGAACCGCTCTGCCAGCTGGGTTGTGGACTTGATCTGGGAAGGGCAAAAGGGCCAAGTAACCTGTGAAGCTATAGAGGGGCGGTGCATGCAGAAAACCACGCAGTGTGGTGCGCCTTCAATTTCTGCGCGCCGATCTGTACGCCGCAGCCCAGGACATGACGGCACCACCGAAATCCTATGCTTTCGATCGAAGCTGGTGGAGCTGTGATGGTGCCGTGGAGGATGAACATTGGCCTAGATTCCTTAAAGCCAAGAGACTTCCACAAAGCGAGTCCCGAAAAAATGTTTGGGCAGGATCCAGAACGACCGGGCTTCAGCACCTCGGCGGCAAAATGCACAGCTTTGCAATGCTTGTGTTGTCGGCATCGGCTTCTCCATCACGACTTGTCGCGTTGCAACTACGGGGGGACAGCCAAGCTCTTCACGCGTGGGCGACATCTGGTTTCAGCTTCGTCGCTGTAGTTCATGCCGGACTCGGAGTCAATTTTGTGCTAAGGAATACCTGATGGCCCGAACTCCAAATATGCCACTGTTCTGCATAATAGGCCTTCCGCCACGCATGCCGGAACCCGTTGTGTCTCGACCTTCAAACAGCTGTGTGCTTTGTGTTGCTGAGGTGGATCAGGATATGGTCTGGAATGATATTGGGGCGATGGTCATGAAAAATGCTCTGCGTGGCTACAACTGCACGGTGCTGCTTGGCAGAGTCTGAGTTGTTGAGAGCAGGGAATACATTTTCGGAAATGCAATGCCTCTGCTAGAGCTTTATTTGTGCTGGCTTTGCTCAAGGTTCGCCTATGGACAATCTGGCTGTGGCAAGTCCTATTCAGTGGTGGGTGATCCACCTAATCTGGGAATTATCCCGCGGGCAGTCCAGGCAGTGTATGAGGTTGTAGACGGGAACACGAACCCCGATGTCAGATACCACGATCCCTGTCTCAATTAGATTCCAGCCTTTGTCCCATGGTCCGAGTTCATCAAATTAATTGTGAGAACGGTTGAGCCGAGGTTGAGATTGCCATGCTGGAGGTTTACATGGACGAGGTGTATGACCTCTTGGAACCTCGGAAAAAGGAGAGGCAGAAGTTGAATGTGTTCCACAACAAGGGCGAGGCCAGGCAAACCTCTGCCCGAAGCGCAGCGTTGTTTCAACATCATAATGTTTTTTCTCGGTTAGGTCTTCATCTATGACCCGAAAGACCGCAAGAACATGGACAAGATTTGGAGAGCATGCAGCAACCATGAGAAGGCAGATAGGGTTTGCACAAGTCGCATGGGGGGCCAGACCGATGCGGACAGTCATTGTTGTTATGTCTGGAAGGCAGAATCATTTCGGAAGATGGGCGATGCAAATCGATCAATTCGAGCCTAAGCTGTTCCAGACCGTGGCATGACGGAGCAGTCCTGGAGGCATTTTCAGTTGCACTCTCGCTTGAATTTCATTTTCAGGAGCCACTGGTATGAATCCAGAGTCGTCTCGCGGGCATGCGCTCTTCATTGTCCGATTCCGCAAGGAGGCTGTGCGCATGAGTTTTCATCCGGTTTGCATTGGCTGAATTTTTCCAGCTAGAGCCTGAGACAGGCCAAAAGAGGCGGCTGGGTGGAAGAATTCCGTTCAAAACTGTGCCTGGTGGATTTGGCCGGCAGTGAAAGGGCTCACGACACAGGCCGGCTTCAAGATGCACACCCGCGAAGACGGTAAGTGTAAACCAGGTTCAGGCGGCGCTGTGCAAATGCAGGGAGAAAGTTGTCTGATTCAGAAGGGAAGGGTGTAGCGTCTGTAGCTGAGGCCTGGATTTGCAGGCTGTATGCTGGGTTGTCAGGCAGTTTTTTCTAGCAGCGATGTCCCAAAGCACGCAGGCTTGACCGGCGTTGGCCTCGAAGAGGGCATTGCCATCAATCAGTCGTTGTCGGCTCTTGGACAATGCCTCTTGGTGAAGACTCAGCACAAGTCTTGGTGCTTTTGTCTTGCGTCGCTTGCGTTATGTGGAAGCATTTGGCCGAAGGGACTGCGCGGCCAAGGCCTGGTGCAGCTCTGCAAGGGTGAGCGGGCAGCTTGTCGGCAGCTTCGAGACTGGTACCGAAGATTGTCGTCACGGAGCCTGGGAGGTCAACTACTCGGACAAGCTCACGCGGCTTTTGTCCGAGAGCTTGGGTGGCAACGCTGTCACCGTACCGGCCTCTCTTCGAGTAGACTATGCGCCGCGGTGTGCTGCCATCCATGATGTTGGTGTTCAGGTGATGATTGCAGCCCTGTCTCCAGCTGACATAAACTACAATGACACGCTGTCTACGTGCTTTGGCTCTTCAGCCATCCTTGCCGTATAAAAAAACGGTGGCGCACAGTCTTTCCTTCAGCCTAGGAGCCGCAGTTTTGGGATTGCTGGCTGTGCTAATCTAAGGCTTCGATTCGCTGACAATGCGAAGAAGATGCCAGTGAAGGTAGCTACAAGTGTCTGACAATGCTGTAGAAAGCCGGTGGTGGCAAGATTTCTACTTGAGCTGGCGATGCCCTTCCGTGTTGAAGGTCAAGAAGCAGCTGGACCCAACTGCTGAGCTCATTAAGCAGCTGCAGGAGGAGAATGCCAAGCTTCAGGTGCTTCATTCAGCCGTGATGGATGTTACGTGTAGTTCCGTTCTATGAAGCTTCAGAGCAGTATTGTCGTCACTGTGGCTTTGAGCGGACCGGACCTAACATCCTGGCCAGGCACAGCTTACATCGATGGGTAGCGAAGAGATTGAGAAAGAACGCCGCGAGTGGGAGGAGAAGCTCGCACCCAGGATGCATTGTACCTCACAGTTGCACGATGAGTGTAATTT